TCGGAGAACCCCTACCGTAGTACGAGGGTTTAGGGCCTGACCCCAAGAATATAAAAAACTGGCGCTACGTCAGATTGACATCTCCATGCCCCATCACTCTAAAATGGAGGCCCCCCTGTGCTTCGTAGTTACCATAAATATGGGTATATAGTAGCTTAATTTAAGTTTCTTAACAACAACACGGAAAAATGACACCTATGAAGATCTCCACCCTTCTAAAAGGGGACTACATGGGGTCCCATCTTAGTTTGGGGAGGGTGGGAGCTCTGTGCCCGTTTATTTTCATGACTACTACTACTACTACTACTACTACTACCACCACCACCACCACCACCACGACGACGACGACGACGACCGTGTTTTGGCGGTCACTGCTGTCATGGTTCAAGGGCTCAGGGTTTAGGAGTTTAGGGCTTAGGGTTTAGGAGCTTAGGGTTTAGGGTCTAGGAGCTTAGGGTTCAAAGGTTCAGGGCTTAGGAGCTTAGGTTTAGGGCTTCCGGCGGCTCTCTGACATGTCAGGGTTCATCTACTTAGCAGCCAGGCACCACAAAGAGGTTGAGGCACCTGAAATAGTAATGGTGATGCTCTAGGTGAGTGGAGCTCCCACAGAGCCTTCTCTGTGTACTTATCAAGATAATGCCGTATGAGTCCCGTCTCTCTTGCAGAGGCAAAACCACAAAACAAGTCGAATCGCTAGGTGCTGTCAGTTCTTTATGAGTTTTTCCGAGCAGCCCCTCGAGTGCTACTCCCCTCTAGGTTTCTTAAGTTGCCATAGTTAGGCCCATCGACGAAGCGAAACTAGGGAGAACTGAGAGGGCGTAGTATGGGGGGTGCGGCTAGGCAATGTATAAGTTATTATGTAGTGACACTCATCTGCAAACTTAGAAACCCAGCAACGAGTGCAAAAAAACTACACATGTATCAACCCTAAGCCTTAAACCCTAAACCCTTAACCCTGGGCATCTTAAGCTCTGCGGCGTGCTGAAGAGCCACAGGCATCATGATTCTGACATGTCGGGCTACACGAACCCTAGTCATCCCAATAATAATGGAGAATCAGATGGAAAAGTAAATGGAAAATGAAATGGGAACAAGGGTTATAATAGGGGCTATATAGGGATCCATATATACAAATATTACCTACATTGGGCCCTAAAGTATACATACATTGGCCCTAAAGCCTACAGATATTACCCAGATTGGGGTATTTGGATCCTTCGGGGAATGCTTCGACAACCCGTACGACAATCTCCTTGTGCTCGCCACAACCCCAATCAACATTCCGAGCTTTCTATACATGTAAGACGAAAAGGCCGAAGACCAATGGAAATTCCTTGATATGGACTCCTTGCATAATCGAACAAGATGTTGGGCAAGAATAGGGTGAACACACGCTGGAACCAATCCTCGAACCCCCGCACACCGACCCTGAAACCTGAATCTCAAAGCCTGGGCCAAAAGATCATGAGACCTCCTCCTCAAATAGGCAAAACACTCATTCCTATTGTGCAGGCTAGCTGTAGTCTCCTTAGACCTATAATACAATTATATTTCTAATATCTGCTGAGGGTTCTACTATAAATCCCTACAGAGACTACAGCTAAACCCTGAACCCCAAGACCCTTTGCCCGCTCTTCTATCAGTCAGCCCCAGGCCTCAACGTTGAGGAGAGGAGCCACACGAGTCCAGAAATGCTGGCCGGGAGGTTTGGGTCGTACGAGGCTATGAAAAACAGGGTACAGGTTCTGATTTGGGCATTTCAGCCGGTTTAGGATTTAGGGTGTATTTTGGTTCAAATGGACTGCCTACGTATATACCAAAGAAAATTCCTAAGGAAGTCTATGTACACCCACCAAGACCCATAATAAAATGCTTCCGCATCCATTTTGAGGAGCTCCCATACAATGTCCTTTCAACGTCACGATTCCTCCCATGGAATATGATGAGGAGCCTCATGCCAAAAGACATCCACTCACGTATACTCTCGATTTAACCGGCTTAGCAGCATATAACCCCTATAAACTCAAATGGAACTCGAGTTGCCATTTCATGCTCCATTGTCTCTTCGACTTGATTATCCAGTCTTCCCGATTAAGGTAGCTGTGTGTTCTGTATAACCCTTAACCCTAAACCCTGGGCTCATTGCGTTGACATTCTATTGGAGAGTGAAGGGCTGCTTCTTAGTTGAGGCTTCCTTGGTGGAGTACTAACGTAGGGAGCCTTGACAACCCTAAACCCTATACCCTAAACCCTAAACCCTCAATTCACCTACCCTCCACCCTAATTCCTAACCCTCACCATGGGCCCCAAGTGAACAGCCGGTTCTGGAATGTCAGGCTGGAATTCCCACAGCAGGCTCAGACAGGTTTCGGTGGCGGTGAGGGGATATCGGGTGTAGGGGTCGAAAGAACGTTGCGGAGTGGGTAGGATTTAGGGTTTATAGGGCTTGGGGAGTAAGTAAGCTTCGGATCTACAGATGGACTTTATAACCACTTAGGGTTTAGAGCTTAGGGTGAAGGGTTGGAGGCCTTGACACCCCTTTGATCCCCATCCCTACGGCGACGCGTAGTTTAAGAGATCTTAGACCTCTGCGCTCTCAGCCTAACCCCAATTCGGACGAAAAACCTTGAGCCTAACCCTTCTGTTTGAGAAGCCCCTAAACCCTGAACCATGCTACTCTCATTTCTATTACTTATGACAGTTTTACAGTGTGATCTTTGACGCTAAGACCTAAACCCTTAAACCCTAAACCCTAAACCACGTGTGTGTAAGGCTCGGACCTGGTGGTGTAAATCAGCGTCACAAGGGCAATGAATAGGGCTGCCTGGCCATGACACGTAGGGTTTCGGCTGAAGACCACAGGTCCCTAAGGATCCAAAGAGCCAAATGTAGGTAATATTTATAAAAAAAAAATTAGGGCCCAATGTAGGTAATATTTGTATACATGGATCCCTATATAGCCCCTGTTATA